GGTCCGACACATCCCAATACGACTCCTTACCGTCGCGATTCACACCATAGGTAAACAATTGTTTCCCTCCCCCACCATGGAAAGCATAAGTCTCCTCTGGATCTACCCGTGGACGCTTAGGCACAGCCACATACTCGGTATCCACCCTCTTCCCCTTGCCACGATCCCTCGTCGGTGGACGCCCCTCCACTTCACCAGCACTGCTACGATCATCTACGACTACTCGAGCAACTTCTACATGGACCTCCCCACGAGGCAAACCATTGAAGAACCTCCCCCGGTAGAGGGTCCCTTTTTGGATGCCTTTTTGGATGCCTTTTTGGACGACCCCTTGGCCTTAGCTGGAAGCGCTGCAAAGGTGATACCCCCATTTACAAGAGATAAGGAACACAAAAGAAACATGGGATATACCCTCCAAAAAAAAAAAAAAAAAAAAAAAAAAAAAAAACCAAACAACAAAGAAGAGGAACACAAGTCAAGGCAGCAAAAGGATATACGATGCTGACCCTTCACCGTCGGTATCAAACTCCTCGGATCAAATTCCACATCACACAACCCAGATTCCTCAATCCTCTTCGCCATATTTGCAGTCATTGCGAAACTCTCACACGTAGGATTCCAAACTACGGGAACATCAAAAGTGGGAGCCCTCACGTAAAAAAAATAGGTCTTCCATTTCCCCAAAGATAACTTCACACTCTTCACGAATTGGTAATGAACGCGAGGATGAAAGCAAAAGAAAGGCATCTGATTGGGCCGATGTAACGTAAATAACGCCTTAAATAAACTCACAGACACAGGCAGACCTACTCGAGCCACCCTAAAATGAAACGCCTGGAAAATCAGAACAGCACTGGGCGTTAGCTGACTATACCCAATCTTGAATTCCTCGCAGACCTTCAACAAGGTCGGATGCGGTGTAATCTGAGATGTACACGTCAAGTAACCTAAAAACACCGTATGAAATCCATCAGGTGGCGAATACAAACGGTCACCCTTCTGAGGTAACAACAACTCAACGTTACTTGGCGCTCCAGATAAACGACGAATAGAGTGCAGATGCTCTTCCGTCAACACACTATCAAAATCAACTAAGTCCAAATTAATTGGCTTAATTCTCTTTTGCTTCCTTTTATCAACCTCAACA